CTCTCCCCAGAAATCTCAGACCTGCTTTGGGGGGGAGGGGCTTGGGTGCCACCTCCCTCCCTCTCCCCGTTTCCACTTGAGATCTCCTCCCGCAGTTGCGTTGCCAGGTTTCTCGAGTCCAGCTGGTGGCTCCTGTCCAAAGTCAAACACTCAGGGCTGCAGAGTCAGCCCTTGCTTGCTCACCATGTTTCTTCCGCTTTGGTAGCTTGGTCCACCCCTCAAAGTCCCTGAGTGTGGGGTGGGTGCCATTGCAGCATCTCGCTTGGCTTCCCTTTGCTACCCTGGCTCTGCAGGCGTGAGAAACCTAGTGGATTCCCACCCCACCCCAACACTCACACTCACACTCACACACACACACACCCCCGCCTCTGTTAGCGAGCTCCTTGGAGAGGGGTGGGGCTTGTGCATCTGTCTACTCCTGGCTCACGTAGTTATGTCCCACTTTCTCTGAGTACTGTCCAGAGCCCAGCATTGTGCCAAATAACATGGAGAAGAGGAAGTGAGATGGGTGGGATGTGGTACCTGACCTCCAGGGGCTGACAGGCTGGTGGTAAAGACAGAAAATTAATAAGTCTAGCAGGAGCTGATCTCGGATTATTGTGGTTCTCAAGGTGCAAAGCACGTTTTAGTCACGACTCTATTAGTTGTAAGTGACAGAAACCCAAGTCAAATTAGCTTAGGCAAAAGTAAGAGGGAATTACTGGGCGTAGAGATAGGATTAGCTTCAGGTATGACTGGATCCAGGGGCTCAAATGATGACTCTGGGACTTGATTTGACACCCGGATGAAGATCAGTTTATAGGGCTATTGCAGTATGATGACAGAGATGCCACCAACTGTCGCAAAGGTGTCACATGCAGCCTCACTCCTGCTTTCCAAATTCTGGTGTCATGTCCTCCAGGCCTCAGACCTGTCACAAGAGTCCAGATTCCCCTGGGCTACCTCTCCAACCCCTGACCAGGGGCGACTGGCTGGCTTAGTAAGTAGAGCATGTGACTCTCAATCTCAGGGTCGTGAGTTCAAGCCCCACGTCGGGAACGGAACCTCCTTAAAAATAAATAAATAAATAAAAATAACCCTGACTAGACACCTCTTTTCCTTGCCCCACCCTCCTTGGGCTGATATCATAGGACATGTTCTGATGCTCACTTTGTGTGTGAGATCTCTGGATCCTGTGGGAGCCTGGATATAGGGATCTAGGGCAGAAGCAGCCCTGCCTCTCAGCATCTGTCTGGTGGTCATGAATAGGGTCTCGAATGCCTCTCTGACACCAGCTGTGTGACCTCAGGTAAGTGGCTTAATCTCTTTGAGCTTCGGTTCTCTCATCTGTAAAGAGGTGATAATAGTTTTTATCTCTTAGGATTGTTTTGAAGATTAAATGAGAGAGTATATGTAAAGCACTGAAGGCAGAGTAAACCCTCCAACATCCACTGCTGTTATTTATGTTGTTCCTTGATACCAATGAAGGAAATTATGTTTGGGGGGTTTTGGCTTTAGAATGTGGATATTACTACTCATAGCTACCATTTATTATGTACTTACGATAGGATGGGCACTTTGCATTTATTACAACAGCTCCTCGCAGAGGAGAAACCCAAGACCTGAGGGCTTAAATCCTTTACCAGTGACACCCAGCTCATCAGTGATAAAGCTGGAGTTGTCCACATCTGTCTGGCTCCTGAGCCCAAGGAGTCAGCCTCCCACTGCTCTACTGTCTCTCCGGATGACATGGGGAAATAGAAAATAAAGGGGCCTTAAGTGATACTTTAAAGGATATATGACTCAAATCACTGCTGGGGTGTGGGGGGGGGTGGGCGGAGAAGATGAGGAAGGAGGCATGAAAGCAATACTAGAAGGACTGACACCAAAAACGTCAGTGTTTTTTTCCTGAGCAGTGAGATTACTAAGAGTATGTTTTGTTTTGTTTTGTTTTCGGTGTTGCTTTATATGGTCCAACTTTTCTTACTTGGTAGTAAGGCCAATATACTTACTACTTGGTAGAGGCCAGTATAAAATTCTACCCTGAAACAGGAAGCCCAATTTTAAGCTACTATAAGCCCATTTGAACAAGTAATGGAAGTAATAATCATGACTGGAGCAAGTTTTCCCCATATTGCATCATTTCTGCAAACCTCCCCTGAAGCTTCTTTATCTATGGCTACTCTGGGCACCAGGCTGAGACCTTCCAAGCAGTTTTCTACCCAGTCCAGCCTGAGGACTGAGGTGGGGTACAAGAGTGAAGTGTACTAGGGGACCCATGCTCTACTCCTGGGCTGAGACGACATTAGGCCAATTACTTAATCTCTATTGGGCTCACTTCCTCTTCTGTCAAATAGGTGTAATAAAAACCTACCCTCCCTGCCTTATTAGGTGCTGTAATGACTGATACTAATGGGTATGAAAAATTATAGTTCCGTCCCTAGTGGGGGCAAATCCTGAAGGCAGCCAAGGTCTAGAGAGTATTCCCAGGAGAGTGGTAAGGCCTTCTGGTCCAGAATGAAGAATGAGAAACACTGCACTGGCTTCTTGGGAGAGTGTATCATGGGGACTCGCAGATCCCAGCTGCCCCCCTCAGGTCACCCAGCGGGTCCCATCCTTGGAGGGGAGTCTGGTCATGGAGCCTGGGTAACAGTGGGCTTTTTTATATAGCTTTTAAGTTGTCTAAAATTTCAGTGTATGTCTTAACTTACCATGCTTTACTGTTAAGTGCTTCATGTATATGCATTTTTCAACAGTATATTTCCATTTTATCCCTCCCATCCTTTGTGCTATTGTTGCATAAGTTTTAGTTTTATATGTTATAAATATCACAATACCTTTTGTTTAGCCTTTTTTCCTCTCATTGCTTCGGTTTGGATAGTTTCCATTGCTTATTGTTCAAGGTCACTAATCTTCTATGAGTTAATCCCATACGGTGAAATTTTTATCTCAGATATTGTATTTTCATTCTGTAGGTGTTCCATTCTGTTCTTTTTTATGTCTTCCATTTCTCTACTCATTATGTCCATGTTTTTCTTTAATTCATTGAAAATATTTTAAATAGGTGTTTTTAAAGCCTTACTGTTAATTCCATCATCTCTGTCACTTCTGAGTCTGCTTCTATTGACTGATTTTTCTCCTGGTTGTGGGTCACACTTTGCTCCTTTGCATAGCTAGGAATTTTGTATTGGATGCTAAGTATTAAAAATATTATATTGTTAAGTGTCTGATTTTGTTGTCCTCATTTAAAGAGTGTTGGACTTTATTCTATCAGGCAATTAAGTTACATGTGGGTCAGCTTGATGTTTTTGAGTCTAATTTTTAAGCTTTGTCAGGGCAGGTCTAAAGTAGCTTTTACTCTAGGGCCAGTTTAGCCCTACTACTATGGCATGAGCCTTCTAGAGTCTCTGCTGAGTGTCCTCAGTGCTCCACAAGGGCTCTTCACTCTGCCTGGTCAAACTTGCACATATCCCAGCCTTGGGCGAGCTGGAAGTGTTCAGCTTATAAGCTCCATGATGCTTGCTCCTTGCTGAGCTCATGCAGTCCCACCCTATTCAGCCCAAGACTCAAGGAGATGCCTGTTCACGCGTGGGGAGCTTCCTCTCTCTCTCTCTAGTTTTCTCTCTCTGGTGCTTTGCCTCTGGAATCCCAGCTACCTCAGCCTTAACTGAACTTTGATCTTTACCTCATCAACTCAGTAAGACTGCTGTGCTCGCTTGGGCTCTCCCTCCCTGCACTGAGGGCTGGTAAATGCCTCCAGATGGAAAGCCGTGCCAATCACAGGACTCACCATATTTGTTTCCCTTGTCTCCAGGATCACAGTCTTGTACTGTGTCTGAAACTGCTTGTTTCATATATTTTCTCCAATTTTCTAGTGGAAGCTAGCAATTTCCTTTAAGATCCCTCTGGGGTAGTGCACCAATGATCCAGACTGGGTGTATCCTCCCTCCAGAAACTTGTGCAGAAATGGATTTAGGGTTAAAGAAGTCCATGAAAAGTCAGAAGGGTCATTCTGATCGCTTCTTAGAGAAACCCAGGATAAAGACTCACCACCCAGTATCAAGTCAAATTTTAAAACAAGAATTGTTAGTGTCCATCAGCTGGGGGTTGGATAAATAAAATGTGGTATATCCATACAATGGAATATAATTGGGCAATAAAAAGAAATGGAGTACTGAAAATGCTATAACACGATGACTCTTGAAAACACGATGCTAAGTGAAAGAAGCTAGTTATGAAAGACCACATATTGTATGATTCCATTTATATGATATTTCCAGAATAGGCAAATCTATAGAAATAGAATACAGATTAGTGGTTGCTTACTGAGTGTGGGGGGTGGGGGTGGGGAGTGACTACTAATAGGTAGAGGGTTTCTCTTAGGGGAGGACAAAATGTTCTAAAATTAGACTATAGTGATCACTGCCCAAGCTCGTGAATGGACTGAAAAACATTGACTTGCACACTTTAAGTGGGTGGATTGTATGGTATGTGAATTATATCTCAGTAAACTGTTTTAAAAAAAGAATTGTGAGCCATTTCCTTCTGTGCTGAAGGTAATGAAGGGATGTAAAGGTGCTGTGGTGGGTTGGAAGAGAAGCCTCAGCTCTTAGATGGATGTATGTACATACTGTAAGTAGTATTCAATCCTGAACTGAAAAAATGTGACCCGTGAGGAGTGTGCACGGTTTTCCTGGGGGAGGTGGTGGCTCTCGTTGGACGTTAGTCTTCGAACCCATTCGCTCCCTAATTACTTCAACCGGAAGAGAATTCTTGCCAAGTTTTCATTTTATCACCTCTTCCCAGCCTTCTGTCCTCTCTGGAACCTGGTCAGCAGTGAGTGTGTATTGAGTGACGACTGTCTGCAGGGAGAAGGGACTTTAGGGCACATGGAGCTTTACCCCTGACCTCAGAGGAACCTGAGAACAGGAGAGCAGAGAGTGTCACATGGCCTCGGGGAACTGTGATGTCACCTTTGTGTCCTCTGTGTTACTGTTCAGAACCACCAGAATAAGGGTGCCATGGTAGTCAAATCCCAGCTGAGGATGCAAGAGTAGGCACACTCCTTCTGTGGAGTCTACGGTTCATTTTAAATGAGGCCTCTTACCTTCAAGGAGTGTGAGTTTTTTGCGAAAGAAAAATTATTATTCATTTGCAGGCTTCTTGTGGGGGTCTTTTTTTTTTTTTAAGATCTTATTTATTTGTTTATTTGAGAGATAGAACGGGAGAAAGAGAAGAAGAGGGAGAAGCAGGCTCCCCGCGGACCCCAGGTCATGACCTGAGCCAAAGGCAAATGCTTAACTGACTGAGCCACCCAGGTGCCCCGCAGGCGTCTTCATCAATATAATTCTAAGTGGAAATTTAGGTTAAGACCCTGAGCTTTGCTTAAAAATACTAACAGCTAACATTTATTGAGTGCTTACTGTGTGCCCCTTCTGTTCGAAGCACTTTAAAGTATAATCAGCACCTTGCCGACTGATATTTCTCTCACTATATGTAAGGAATGTAAAAAGACTATGTTTCTTTTTGCCACTATTCTGTTTTTCTGCTAAATTTTCAGTAATTCGGTAGACTCTTCCTTCTGCTGAGGAATTCAGCATCCAGGTCGGACCCAGCCCTCGGCCAGCTAAACCAGGAGGTGGGCCCCAGAGGCTTCACAGGCCTGGTGCTCTTGGTGCCACGTGAGGACAGTGCACTCATCAGATGTGGTGTGTGTGCTTTTTCTCTAGGATCATCCACGAAGATGGCTTCTCTGGAGAAGACGTGAAACAGTACAAGCCTGTTGTCTACAGCAACACCATCCAGTCCCTGGCAGCTATCGTCCGGGCCATGGACACTTTGGGCATCGAATATGGTGACAAGGAGAGAAAGGTAGGCTGCTGAGCCCATGGGCACCGTAAGGAGAGGGCCTGTCCTCTTTAAAATGTCGGCTGACTTACAGGGAACAGGAGAGACCGCTGTCTGTGATAGAGAAGGCTAGTCGCCAACCTGAGCCAGCGCACCAGTCAGCCTGGCAAATTCAGTCAAACGGGCGTAGGTGATGGGCACACCTCCAAAGCAAAGTCGCCAACAAAGACAACAGCCACCAAATGTCAGGGTTTATTTTGCGTATGACAAAGGGTTGGTGATATCCTAAATTGGGACTCCAACGGCATTGTACAAGGACTTGCCCTTGGGCAATTAACTTGAACAGAAGTATTTCTCAAACCAAACGAGCACTACCTGAGCACCATCTCCCCTCCTTAGGAGAGGGTTCCTTGCCTTCTTGGGAGCGGGGTGTAGCCGTTTGATTGTGACTCTTTCCTCCTTTACACCAAGGAATATGTTGTCTGCCTCTCCCAGGTGGGTCTGAAGACCTAAGGGGCTCTCCTTCCTGCAGGAAGTTGATATCCTAGAACAGAGACTGTTTTACTTTTTTTTTTTTAAGGTTTTCTTTAAATTCCAGTGAGTTAACATACACCATTAATATTCGTTTCAGGTGTACAATTTAGTGATTCAACACTTACATACGAGGGACTGTTTTTCAGTTGGGTTCCCAGGTGTCTGATAAGTGGTGAATGGAGTAAGTGTATAAAAGCCCCTTATTTGCAAACATTTGCATTAACTGTAAGACGGAAGCATATACAGCTACGCTTGGCAAAGCTAAATAAAAGAGAGAGAGAAAGAAGGAAAAACAGACTTAGAGAATTCTATCCAGAAGTGGCTCTTTGTCCCCTGGTGGGACTGTGAATCCCAGCAACCCTTTCCCTCTGTCCTGGACGACAGAGAAGGGGAGCAGACGGGGAGGTCTTTGAGCTCCTGGGCCCCCTCATTGGAGCCTTTGGATAGAGAGAAGTCATCTCTGATTACTGTGTGATTCAGTTGTGCGTTGTATACATAACCTGTCTTTGCTAAAAAAAATCATCTCCCTCACAGAGAAAAACTATCCTTGCCTCTGGGTCTGATGAGGAACCTGTGACCGATAGCTTTAAATGTAAAATTCAATATTTTATGCCCAACATTCTAAGTTTATGGGGCAGAGTCATCCCAGCCCTGGCATGGGCTGCTTCTCCCCTGGGGGATTTGTTGAAGGGAGGTGTGTCCGAGGCCAGCCTGGGCCAGGGAAGCCAGGGCCCCATCATCCACTGCTCCTCTGGGAGGCTGAGTCCAGCAGCTGGTTCTGCAAAGGAAGCTCTTCCCACCCGGGGGACCGGCTTTGGTTTCAGTCACAGAGCCAGGGCCCGTGGGAAGAGGGGTACTGCAAGTGCTTGTCTTATTTCCATTAAGTAAAAACTGACAGCTGCTAGCGGGCCAGGCACTGTGCTGGCTGTTGGGGATCCAGGAATGAATGCAGTGGGGGTGGCGCCCCAAGAAACCAGGCATTCAGCACATACCTACTCACATCATCAGAATCAGCCAAGGTGGTTACAGGGCTCCATTCATTTAAATAATAATAATATGGTGGTAATAGGGAGGGCTGTCATTTACTGAGCTCCTCCTCCCTGCCAGGCACTGTGCTAAGCATTTTACATATGTTAACTCATTTTAATTAACTCGGGCATGAAAGCCCAGAGCAGGAAACGGGCCTGGGGCAATCTTTAGACAAGGACAGGCCACGGGCCTCTTGGCCAGAGAGAGAGCAAGGTGCCTGGATCTCTGTTCCCCAAATGACAACTACCCTACACAAGGCATATGTGTCCACAGCACGTACCCTCCACACTTACACACACGTACATAGACACATAGCCTATGAGAGCCGCCAGGCGTTTATGTGTTCACTGCCATGGCTGCCTCCCAACCATTTCCTCCCTGAAAACTTCCTGCCCTGATTAAAACCCAGAAAAGACATTATGACTTTGGAATGCTTTCTCCTTCAGTTCTGAAAGTACTCCTTCTTCCTGTGGGATTTCTTACCCCCCCACCATTTGATTATCCTGAACAGAGAGGTGATTGCTTGGGAATGGCAAGGAATACGATATATCAAGGACTGTGCTGGGGGCCCCCGGGGCCTCTGTGGCTGTTTCTCTTCTATGAGGTCCCCCCACTCAAGACCGTCATCAAGTAGGAGGCCAGGGAGGGTACCAATACAGAGGGAGACCAGGAACAGAGTGGAGATGCCCGGCAGAGTCCACTGGACATGGTAGCGTTGGAGCCCAGTCCTGTTACGGTGGGTGGCACCATGGCAGGTGCCCGACCCATCCCGGGGCAGCACAGGCTCCTCAGGCACAATCCTCCTGGCTGACAAAGGCCTCCAGGCCCTTGGGCACCTCCTCCCTCTGTTATGGCACCTGTGAGGAGCAGAAAAGTTGACCCAAGACTCAGGCCAAAGTGAGCCAGACAGCTGGGGAAGATATTTTCAGGAAGCGCGCTGTCATGGATTTGCAGTCTAGGAAGCTGAGTGCAGGGATCCCTATATTAACCTGGTTGGGGGTATAGAGGCAACTACTTCAGACTGAACGCTTCTGCCGGACCTGGAAGGGACATTTGTGATGAAACTTGACTATAAGAAGGAGCCAGCCATGGGAGCAGATGGGGGACAACGTTTCCAAATAAGCACCAGGGGCCTGAAAGAGGAGTGAGGCTGGCATGTTAGAAGAGAGAAAGCCTGAACCACACCCTGGGAGAGGGGTGGGGCCCTGGGGTACTGGATGCCTTCCAGTCAGGTCTAACTACAGCCAGCCAGATGGTGCCCAGATGCCCTGACCCCAGTGCTGGGTCTCCAATCTCTTTCTCTTTCCTCTCTCAGGACCCAGGAGGGGCCCACCTAGAGGATCTGCTATTTGGATGTTGTGAAAACTGCCCCATGCAGAGCAGATCCAGATTTGTGTTTTGGCCTTGAAAGACCTCCTTTACTCTCTTGGCTTCTCCACTTCTGCCTCCTTCCCCAATCCCTCATGAAACATCTAGAGGAAGACAACCCCACATCCAGAGTCTGCTTGGCCAGCCAGCTTTGCAATCTCCTTACAAAGAAGCATCTAGAGGCTTCCTTGCTGTACCTCATTAGAACAGGGGTCCCTGACTTCTCTTGGTAGCTGGCTCATCACCTATCCTGGCCCCCCAGTGGAAGGAAGAGTGACTGGTTTCCCCTTCAGCCTCTCTGGGCATGAGTCCAAGGCTGAAGAAGCCGCTACATGAGGGCAAGCAGCAGGGATCCCCTTATATCAGTCTGGGGTTTCCACGTCCCATGCCCCAGCCACACCAGACCACAGACCCTCTCCCCAAAGACACACACACTCCTATGCTTCCAGGCCTTGGCTCAGGCCATACCCTGTGCCACCAATGCCCTTCTCCCCTTCTCTTCCTCCTGGAATCCCTCCTGTTGAGTGAAGAAGCCCAGCTTAGCTCCCTTCTCTTCCATGAAGGCTTTCTCTTCCATCCCCTTGACAGCAAAACTCAGCTCAAGGCTTTCCCTCCATTGAGCACTTACTCATACACTGGTATGAATATTGGTCATGTTACTCTTTCCTTAGAGCAGCGACCCTTGCGCTCTAGGGTGATCAAAACCCGTTTGAGCAGCTAATGAAAGCAGAAAGCCTTCTCTCCAGAATGGTGCATACATGCACACATCTGGGAAATTTTGCATACAATTTCAGGGGGCTCTGGCACTCATAAAGCCTGGAATAAGAACTCTTTTGTGATTTCAGGTCCTTCTGCACAAGGCCTGTGTCATTCATCTTTTGGTCCCCTCCTCACCCAAACAACCTGCACAGGGCTCAGAATATAGTAGGCCTTCAAAAAAAGTCCCTTGAATGGAATGACATGTCTAACTTCCTTAGCTGTCAGAGAAAAAAGGAAAAGTATCTGTAATTCATCACTAAATGAGCAGATGTTGATTGAATACCTACTATGGCTAGGCTTTGTGCTAAGTATTCAGAGGTATGTGACACAGAGCCTTTAAGGAGTTGATCTTGTTAAAACAGATGAACATATGGGAAGGGGGAAAAAAGAGACAGAGAGGGAAACAAGCCATAAGAGACTCTTAACGACAGGGAACAAACTGAGGGTTGATGGAGGGAGGTGGGTGGGGGATGGGTTAGATAGATGATGGGTATTAAGGAGGGCTCTTGTTGGGATGAGCACTGGGTGCTGTATGTCAGTGATGAATCACTAAATTCTACTCCTGAAACCAATATTACACTATATGTTAACTAACTAGAATTTGGGAAAAAAGGAGTTGATCTCCTTGGGTAGACAGGGCTCACAAGCTGAATGAGCTCAGCCCTCACAAGGTGGTCACTGACCTTGAGGCAGGGGTGTGGCTTGACAAGGGCAGATGTGGGTAAGGAAAAGGACTTGAAGCAGGAAGAACAGGAGTAAAGGCAGTGGGTTGGTAGCGACCAAAACAGATCTGAAGAACAGAGGAGGCCAGTGGCCGGAACAGAGGGTTAGGATATGGTAAGGTGTGGGCAAGTTAGAAGACGCAGTGAGGTCCAGATGGGGTGGGCCTTGGAGGGTGCACTGAGGAGGTTGGGTTTGATCCTGGTGGCAGCAGGCGGCCATTGATAGATTTTTGAGCTGGGGAGGGGTGGGATGAAAGTGAGTTTTTTAGAAGACTCTCATGATGGCCCGTGTAGGGGTGGGGGGACTAGTGGGAGGAGGACTGCAGGTGTGGAGGCAGGCTGGGGAGCTATAGTGAATGACAGGCATGCGGAGCGCGGTTCTCCATGGGGGTTGGAAAGGAAGGGTGGCAAAGTGACGTGTGGTGATGAGAGGGAGATGAGGGCCTGGGATTGATGGGCTGCTGGGGCAGAAGGGCGAGGATCAAGAGACTGGCTGACTGAGAGCAAGTGAAACCTGGGGCAGCAAGCACGAGGTGGGGCTGGACTGGGCCCAGGGTGCTGAGTCTGCTTGCAGCCTAGTGGGCTGCCTGGTGGGAGTGATCAGCAAGCAGA